AAAAATTGTTGATTTCAGCAAATTGCTTGCACCAGGTTCCCCATTTGAAAAGCAGGACTCGACCTCAGGGCTCACTGCAGGCATTGGAGTGTGTTCTCCTATGTCAGATGGCAGTTATTAAATATTTTATATATCATCTCTGGCCCCACGGTTACTGCCCTTGGTTATGAAAGTCAGGTGAGTTCCCGGTAAACCCCAAGTACCGTCTCCGCAGAGGTGAATCAGGATTCTCGGGCACCCAGGGCTGGCTTCTCAGGCATGTAACCTAGACAGTTGCCTGCCCTTAGTTTAATGCTCTGCTGGGCCCCATGTTGCAAGTCTCGATGCCAGGAGGCCCCACTGTTTCATTTTGCACTGGGCCCTGCAAATCATGTAGCCAGTCCTGTAGGCGAAAAGACAGTGGCTGGCAAAACTCAGAAAAATAACCCTTCCAATCAGAGTCCAGGGGACTGAGAATATACTACAAGGATTGTGTTCTGGCTGAAGTCTCTTGGGTGTCAATTTACTTGTCTCCTGGCTACTGAAGGGAAAGAGCTGGGCTCCAGGACGTGGCTGTGTCCTGTACATGGCCAGCATGGTGTCTTTGTCCATTCGGGCTGCTGTAAGAATACCGTTGACGGGGTAGCTTAGAAGCAACAAACATTTATTTCTCATAGTTCTGGTGGCTGGGAAGTCCGAGATCACAGCACTGGCAGATCTGGTGTTTGCTGAGAGCAAGTTTCTTGGTCCCTAGCTAGGACCTTCTTGCTGTGTCCTCACATGGTGGCAGGAGTGAGGGAGTTCTCTGGGATTTCTTTTATAAGGGCACTAACTCTATTCACAAGGGCTCCATCGTCATGACCTAGTTACCTCCCAAAGTTCCCACCTCCAAATACCATCACATTGGGGATGAGGATTTCAACTTACGCATCTGGAAGGGACACAAGTGTTCAGTCTAGAGCATGTGGTGCATGAAAAACACCAAACAAAAAGGACTGAAGAACACAGTCGTTATTCTCAGCAAGAACGTTTTCCAAGCACCTGCTCTGTGCCCAGCCCTGTGCTGGCTGCTGCGGGGAACAAAAAGAGCTGGATAGGAAGGCACTGCACAGAGTCTCTGGAATACCCTTGGGATTAGCCTCAAATGGGCATAGGCCTGGGGCTCAGGGGTACAGACGTGGGATTCAGAAAGGGCTCGCTGGGGGCCGGGCTGTCAGGAAACGTTTTGGGTCAAGGCAGGACTCAGGGTCTTAAATGATGCCCGAGGCTTAATAAGTGGAGGAACAGAACCATCCAAGCCTCACCCCGGGTTTAGCTGCATAACACACTCCCTGCTGGCAGGTCTGGCGTTGGAATCCGTCACATTAGACTGAAGTAGGGGAGCATTGCAAGTGGGGTTCTCTGGAAGCAGACACTAAGATGGAGTTCGGGGTATGCGTTTGTTTCCTGTGGCTGCTACAACAAATTACTCCAAACTGAGAGGCTTCAAACAAGAGGAATTTATTTTCCCAGAGTTCTGAAGGCCAGAAGTCTAAGATCAGTTTCACTGGACTAAAAGCAAGGTGTTGGAAAGGGTGATCAATCCTTGTCTCCAGACCACACCGGTAGGCAACTGTCTCAGAGACACTGAGACAGCCCAAGCCTGCCCTTCCGGAAGCTTGGCCTGTCATCCTCACTTTCACAGTTGCCCCGGAAGTAGTTGGCCTGTAGCAATCCGAAGGGAAGCCCCAAAGGCAACGTAGCGCACCACAAAATTAGACTATTCTTTGCTCGTTTTTAAATGTGACCGAAGGGACCAGGATTGGACAGGACAAAGGCTGAAGGGGGAGGCAAGAGGAGCCTGGACTGGCAGCAGGAGTTCTGAAACTATCTCAGCAAGTCATTCTTTCTCCATGGGCCTCAGTTTCCCCGTCTGCAGCATGAGGCTTATGAAGCCAGACATCCGGACCTTAAAACTGATGATTCAGAGGTAGAAAAAAGGAGGCCAACTGACAGGTCCCAGCGGGTAGAGGACGGACAGGGAGGCCGGGCAAAGGTCCCAGGAACCCCCACTAGTGTTTGAGGGGCCCGGGCAAGGGTATACATGGAGGACCCACACACCACGTATTGCATAAAAGATGTTTTGTTGGCTGACCTGGAAAACACATTTTTAGAACGACCTGTAAGGCCAAGTTTGAACGAATATTCTCAGACTCGTAGTGTCCTACACTGGAGGCTGTGGTGGGGAGAGAGCTGGCCCTGGTCCCTGGCTGTGGCTGCGATCACAATGTCCTACTCATAGACCTCAGACTCTGGGGAGCAGAACTGGCTGAGCATCCTGTGCTGAGGTTTGAAATCTGTCCTTGCGGTTGGGCTGAGGCCACGCAGTTCCCTGCAGCAGGGATAGAAGGGCCATCCCTTCCTGGGTGGCCACTCTGATGGCTGGCTTTGCCCTGAGGACCCCTGACAGCCTTGCCGAGCCTTCCTTCGATTGCCTGCAGCGTGGCTTGATGGCGGGCCCAGTTGGCTCTGGCTCCCTCCTCCTTCCCTTCCAAACAGGCATCTTCCTTAATGCCATCAGTCCGGGCTTGACAGCTGGTTCTCAGAGGACCTGGACAGGCACATGGGACCCCCAGCCCACCCAGCCCACCCCTCTTCTCTTCTCACCCCTGGCTCCTTCTCACACCACGAAGTGCCTCTCTAGGGTCCCGGGCACCCAGGGTGTGGTCCTGTCCACACGTCCCCTTGGCCCGCAGTCTCCTCACCCCGTGGCAGTGTGGGGAGCGTGACAGAAGGGCTGAGCCCGGGGGCACAGGGAGCAGGGAGGGGGCTCCTCTTGTCCAGGTCTGAGGTGCTGCCGGCCTGGGGCCTCACCTTCCCATCGTCCTCCCTCCATGCCAGCCTTTTGACCTTTATGGCTCTGTCTCCTTTGCCCTGCATGTGCATGCTTCTGGAACATTCTTTGCAACCACGTGGGCTGGGGGGAGGGAGCACATGTCCCTGGCCCTTCATACCTCTGTCTTCTTTCACTAACTCCAGAGTCTGGTGGAGAAGAGAGAAAACTGGGGCTCAAAGAGGCCGAGTGAGGATGCACCCCCGGGGCCTTCTGATGCCCACCCCTGGGTTCTTCCATGATGTCCTGGCCTGTGGGGGTGATCACGCCACCCCGTGTCATGCAGCCGCCCTCCCCAGTCATTGGCCTGTTCTTCCGCCCCTGGGAAACGGATGCGCATGTCTGCCGATGTCTAAGCGGCTGCTACGGCTTTCATCCTTGCAGTCCAGCCAGTCGACCGGGTGATGGAAGGCCAAGGACGTGGTCCCCAGAGGCCAGCAGGGCTCCAGCCCCTCAGAACTTGTCATCATACTTGCAGTCTGGGTAGCGGTAGGCGAATCTGGGGTCACAGGTTCTCAGGGGCCTCAGGACGTCCTTCAGCTGCCTGGCAGCCCCGAGGACCTCCGAGTCAGGGCGGGCGCCCTCCCCACACCGAGCAAGCGCAGCGTCGATCTCCTCCTGCACCGGGGACGGGAACTTGGCCTGGAGAAGCCGAGGCAGCACCTGCCCGCACACCAGCACCAGGCTCTGCTTCTCAGGGACGGTGTCGCAGGAGGGCAGCTCCACCTGGCAGCCGGAGACCAGGCAGCTGAAGATGTCTTTATTCTCTTCTGCCCTGGTGGCTGCTTGGCTGCCTAGAAGAGAGATGGATGCTTTTACACACCCTACCACCTGTATTCCTTGGGAGGGGGGTGGGGTGCTGCTAATGAGAATTACTGGGCAAAGTGGTTTAGTCTCTTAGCATCTCCTGTCAGCAGGAGATGCAGGGCTCAGGGACACAATGGCCCCCTGTTGAGAGCCTGTGGGGAGCTCTCACTGCTACAGTAAGATGAGGCCCGGCACGGAAAACACACTTATCCCTCCCAGAAATTGGGCTTCTAATTGTAGGGCTCACACGCATAGTGTGATTATTACTGAATTAGGGAACTCAGGAAATTCCTAGGGCCAGTTGCATTTGCCCTTGTTAAATACAAAGTCCAGAGAAAGAACAGGGAATCCAGAATATGCATTCAACTGATATTCAATGGTTCACATATCCCAGATATTCTGGACTCAACCTCATTCCTTCTAATTTGAGCCTTCTTAGTAAAGGCAAATCAGATCATGAGTAAGTGTGGTTTAATTGGTCTATCTTTGGAGGCCTTCTCATGTAAACAAAATCAGAAATTGGAGGTGAAAAATCCTCTGTCCCATTCTCAGGCTAAGAAAAGTCTGGTCACCATTAGAGACTGGGATGTTTGAAGGGTTCTAGGACCCTGGATGCATCTGTGCACATCACGAGCAACACGATTCATTCATACACCTCATTCGGTGCCATGCTTTTCAATTTGAAACCTTTATAAAAAGCAAAGGTGTCAAAATGGGTTGTGAAATTAACCAGTGAAACAGCCAGATAGTTCAGATAAAGTCTAAAAGCATCTGATGAGAAAGGCTGGGAAGGGGGAGACGGATCTGGGGATGTACATGTGTGAGGAGGGCAGGCCAGGACCCCATGCCACCCAGACCCAACTGGACAACAGCAGTGCCCTTGGAGGGTGCAGTTGGGGCCACCATGATGCAAATCTCCCCCTACCCCATGGACAAGATCAAGTCCAGTTCCCCTTTGGAGCTGGAGCAGAGACTCCAAAGAGGGAGAGGGACCCCCCTCTTCCTCGAACTTGAGCTGCTCTCACTGTGACGCATGGAGACTGGTGAGGCCCAGTGGGGCCACCCCCTTGTCACCCCTCCCCAGCTCCTGTTCCCTTCCGGCAGCTGCTTAGCCAGAATCCATGCTGGGTACCTTCCTGCCTGTCGATGACGCCCAGTGCACTGGCATCCCGGATGAACAGATGTCCGTTGTTGAAGATACCAAACATGGCCGCATCAACGCGGGTGAAGTAGAAGAAGTAGTTCAAATCGTTGCTCCTCAGAGACTCCAGGACACCCAGGAGCTGGTAAGCCAGGTCGGCCGCCTGGTCTGGGGGCGCACCATAGAATTCCTGCAGCGGACTGGTGCTGGTGCTGACCAGTAACCGGCCACAGGAGCCCACGTACTTGGGCAGCGGCCATCCCTCAGCGCCTGGGAAGATCTGCCAAGCCGAGAGGAGGAGGCAGTAGAAGATCAGAGAGAAAAGAACTGAAGACAGCCCCCTCCGCACCCTCTCTCTCTCTGCCTCTCACCACGCGCAGACAGAAAGATCAGCCTTACACAGGTACCCTCCGTGTCAAGACACATCAGCAAAGCATCCTTTAACCTTGTTCACACCTCTTGGAATGCGGCAACACTCTGCTCCCCGCATCCTCTCCTGCCCCGCTGGCCAACCACAACTTGTTCATCCCATTGCTGATGGAGGGATTCGGAAAAGGAAGCTCTTCTTTCCATACAGCGGGTCACATTTCAACAGAGTTGCCCCAAGCCAGGTAAGAGAATGCCGATGTAGCACTTTCCGTGACTTTGGAAAGTATTCAGGATTCGGGGAATGTGTTTATTTTAAGAGTTGCATAGGTTGAAAAAAATAAGACCAGCATTTCAGATTTTGCAAATATCACTGCTTAGGAAGAGGTTATGGGGGCAAAAAAAAGAAGGTCAACTTCAGGCTAATTGATTGATTTATTTATATAACTATATGATTTTCTCTTTTTTGTAGGGGGGGAGAGGTAATGAGGTTTATTTACTTATTTACTTTTTAATGGAGGTACTGGGGGCTGAACCCAGGACCTTGTGCATGCTAAGCACGTGTTCTACCACTGAGCTATACCCTCCCCTCTCAGTGCTGATTTAAAGAAAAAGATTTTCAAAAATAAAAGTGCAGGCATTAGGTTCTGGGAGAAGGCAAAAATCATGACGGTGGCCCTTGGGGGACTGAAGTTTCGGGGACCACTGCACTGGCCCGGGATGGATCTGCCTGGCCGGACTAACTACATACTCACAGGTGCTCCCCCGCTGACTGGAATGTTCCAATAGCCTAACACGGGCCTAGGGAAGCACACAGCCCCAACCAGTCTCCTGTCTCCTTGTAAGAGCTCCAAACGTGTGGATTTGTGAGACGAAAAAGAGAAGAGGGAGTCCTGGCTGGTTCTTTTTTTTTTTTTTTTTTTTTGACTAAAATAGTCAAATAGCGAGGCAGCTGTACCTAGAATGGCATTTCTTTAAACTATGGGAGAAGTGACAGGAATTATAAATACTTGGCACTTTTTTTTTTATTTTCCTTCTTAAAAAAACAAAGTCATCCCCCTTTCTGATCATTGTTCTCTGGCTTTGTGCCATTTTAGCCCACTCGCCATGTTGGGAAAGAAGCTTTCTTGCTTCCCCTGCCCACTGGAACTGCTCCCACTGTGTGCTGTGCAGGGAGGCCCCTGGCCCCCCTGGTGACGTCTAAATGCAGCTACGAGTCCTCCCTGGGCTGGTGGCAGATGCAAGCCATGCCCTTTTTGGGCAGAGTTTAGGGTGGATGGAGGGTCCCAAACCAGGCCTCTCAGGAGCCAGGGCTAGAAGTAGCCAGGTCACCTGCCTTGGCCACCAAGGCTAGGACAGTGGGAGAAGAAGACCTCTGAGGGTGCAGGATAACCAGCGATTCCTTCTCCTCTAGGATTTAAAATGCCCGCATTACTGGGCAGGTTTTAGCAGAAAGAGCATGTGGACCTTGGGTCAGACAGCTCTGGGTTTAGGTTCCATCGCTGATAACTGGCTAAGGGACTGTGGCCAAGTCACTTCACATCTCTGAGCGCCACTTACCTCATCTGGAAAAGGGGACAATAATAATATTCCTCTGAGGTTGTCGAGTTGTTGTAAGCATTAAATGAGATCATGATGTAAAACATTTAACACAATGCCTGGCACATAGCAGGTGCTCAGTAAATGACTTGTTATACAATTAGTATATCATAAATTAAAAAATATAATAATATATTATAAATAATTATAATACATTATAAATCATTATAATACTATAATACATTATAAATCATTATAATACATATAAGTAATTATAATACATTGTAAATATAATACATTATAAATAATTATGATATAAAGTATAATCATTACTATATTATAAATAATTATAATATAGTTAATAATAATTATTAAGTGCCATCATATGGTTTCTTCCCCTTCCTCTACCTGCACCTTCTCTCTCTTCTCTTCCTTCTGTTTTCCTCTTTCCCCTTTCTCTCCTCTCTCTCTTCCTCTTATTCATCTTCCTCCTCCTTCTCCTCCTCTCCTTTCTCTTCCTCCCTCCTCCTTTTTCTGCTCCTCCCTCCCACTTCCCAGTTTCCTTTGTGCCCATTATATAGTGTCCTGAATATTGGGACCTGGGGAAACCAGTGTGATTAGACTCCGGGTGTTCTATGGATGCTGGCCGACTTATTAAGCGGCTGTCTCTACTGACTGATGCAAAGGTGCATGAAGGCAGGGGCCACTATGCCTGTCTTGCTGACTAGTGTATCCTCAAGTTTCAGTGCATCCTTGCTGATTTGACCGTTACCTTATTGATGGGCTTTTAGGTTACTTCCATTTTTTTCTTCTTTCTAAGCACAGCTGCAGAGCACATCTCCGGGTGGGCCATTCTTTGGTTATTTCCTCACCTCCTGAGCTTGCTCAAATCTTACTGATCTTTGAGGCACACAGGTCAAAGCCCTTTTGGGCAGGGCTGCCTCTGGCAGCAAAAGTGGCCATTCTCTGCGGACCCGGCTCCCCAGCTCCGACACCTCTTTCCTCTACAGCAACCACAGCCTTCTCCCACTGCGGAAGCCAACACATATTTACTGAATGCCACAAAGGTACTAACGTGGGCTGGTGGCCCCAAGGTGTACAGTGAAAGGAGAGAGGGCTCAATCCAGGGCCCGCCCCCTTGAAGTCCGACGTGAACCCCCTCCCCGTACCTGCAGGAGGATGGGATGCGCGTTGACAGAGAGCGTGTAGAGCAGACGCAGCTTGTCGCGGTCTGTGAAGTGGTCCATAAAGATGCTGCCGGCGTCGGCCACCTCGGCATAGCGCCGGACCACACGGTCCAGGAGTCGCTGCGATGGGCAGCGCAAGAAAGGGCTGGGCAGACCCTGCAGGAGGGGGTGGGAGAGACCCCGGGAGGGGGAGAGGGTGCTGAGCGCTCATGTTGGACCCGGCTAACTCACCGTCTTCCAATGAAAGGCAAAAGGAAAACCAAACCCTGGTCTTCTGTTGCCCCTCCCCCTCTCATGGCCGGTTTCCTCATCTTTGTGTTTCCTGTCTGATGCCATCCTTAGGGAACCAGCCAGCCGGGCAAGGCCTTCCTGGTGTGGTCCCAGTGACTGGGCTTTTGCTCTGTTGCACTATCACTGAACAGGGGGCTTCTGCACAGGGTGGTACCCAAGAGTGATTGTCACGCTTCTCCACAGTCCCTAATAGCTGGTAAAACAGTCAATGAAATTTAACAGGTTTGTCATTGCTCTGGTCAGTTTTCTGTGTCAACCCGGCCAGGCTATGGTGCCCAGCTATTCAATCAAACACTAACCTAGGTGTTGCTGTGAACATATTTTGTAGAGGTGGTTACCAGCCAGTCAGTTGACTTTAAGTGAAGGAGATTATCTTTGATGACGTGGGTGGGCCTGATGCAAGAAGTTGAAAGGCTTTATGAGCAAAACTAAGGTTTCCTTGAGGAGGAAGAAATTCCACCTGTGGACTGTAATGTCAGGTCCTGCACAAGGGTCTCCAGCCTGCTGGCCTGTCCTGTGGATTTTGGACTTGCCAGTCCCCAAATCTCAGAAACCAATTCTTTGAAATAAATCTGTTTATAAATACACATGTACATAAAATATAACATAATATTATATGTTATATATAATTATATATTATTTACATGCAATTATTTTATATTTTTGTATTTTATTAATTATATTATACTAAATTAATAATATATTTATTAATATTGCTTAATACATTAATGGTATATATTTATATAATATATAAAATATAATATATGCATTACATATATGTAATACACATATATATACACTGGCATCAGGGGAAAAGCACTTGTTCTTTGAGGAAACCACAGCAACTGAGATGGAAATCTAGACTTGCTTTCGCTTTTGAAGCCTCTAGTAAAATCTGAGTACACAAGACGTAACTTCCCCAGTGACCTTCGGTTGGCTTTTATCCACATCCTCCAATGTGTTTGCTCAAAAAACAGCACCAGCTATCAGCAGTGTCCTCATTTAAAGGGTCCTTACCAGAAGGGAAGCATGAAAGTTACATTGTCTGGACAAATGATTTTGTAACTCTCAAGTTACTTAAAAAGTAAAAGAGCTATGCTGGTTTTTCCTCCCTAGAAGCTAGAGATGAGAAAGTCCACGAGAGGAGGAAGGAGGTCTCCTCAGAGCAGACCACAACTTCAAAGTTATGTGGATCTTCAATAATCTTGCCAGAATTGCCCTAGGCCTTCTCAGGTTCCATGCCATGGGTGAGATCTGCCCAGTTGGAGGGTCCCATCGGAAGGTTTGTTAGCGCTAGACCTTTCTCTTCTCCCTTCGTTCTGGAAGAGCATCTGATAATCTGTAAATTCTGTAAATTCACTAAAAGTAAAAACTCATTTGTTGAAGATTTCCCTTGGCCTTTCAAATTGAGCTGACCAGGGCACCCTTCTTTCTGGGAAAGCTGACTTCTGATTTTTTTATTTTCCTCCTGGTGTCACTACATGTGTGTTCATACATTTCCACATGTAACAATGGTGGCCTGTAGGGGCAGCGACATAAGCTTTTTTTTTTTCTCTTTTACATTGTACAATTTCATAGTGTTTGTTTTTTGGGGGGAAGGTAATTAGGTTTATTTACTTATTTATTTTTAGAGTAGCTGTCGGGGATTGAACCTCGTGCATGCTAAGCATGCACTCTACCACTGAGCTCTACCCTCCCCTGCTACAATTCCATAGCGTTTGACTATCTCACAGTGAACATGTCCAGGATGGCCATTTTCTCTTGGTGCATGAAACCTCTGTCCTCTTGGTGAACTCATGTAGTGATAACCAGGAAAAAAAAAAGTGTTGCACACCTCAACACTTTTCACGTGATTTAGTTGTTAAATATGCTTGTGAAGCAGGCTTTAGGTTAATTGCGTCTCATAGTTAATCGTGTCATACTTAGAACAATGACGAGTCAATAACTGTATTAATTGTAGATAATGAAGCCCCAGATTACTCAACATTTTTCCTTCAAGCTGCATCGTATTCAAAACCATGAAAAGCCCTGTTTGGTTTATGTTATGAAGAGAAACAGCTCACAGTTCTTTTTCTACTTCAGTAGATGGATTCTTCCCCCTGCTCTTTTATTAAAATTCTTTCCAATCTTTTTTTTTTTTAATCTGAAACATAGACTCAAAGTGAGGTTTCTTGGTTTGTTAACTTTTCATTCTACAAGTGCCGGCCGCCACAGTGATAACCTTGGAGAAACCATTTGGATGCTTTTAAAAGTTTAGACGTCTAAGAATGTCCTCATAACTCTTAGTTCATGTTACTTTATGACGCAGATCATCCCAGCAGGTGTTAATGGTACTGGAGAAGGGAGGGAAATTTGGACAATAGATGGTCCCCAAATTATTTCAATTTTGCTTTGGAATCCATAAGATATGGTAGATTTATGATAGGCCCCTTCCCCCATTAGGAAGTTTCTCACTGCTACTGTTTGCCTCATCTGATCAATTCAGTCATGAATGGAAATTTAGTCACAAAGGGTAGAAACAAGGATAGGAAGTCAGCCAAGAGTGGGTCTAAAATTTGGAGTTGGCCTTGGACCATCTGAGAGTGGCTGTAACATGCCCAGGAGGGTTGAATGGCTGTTAAAATAACATTAGATCACAAACTAAATAGACTTGGTTGGGTGGGGAGAGGGATGTAAAATGCTTTCCTTGCACTGGAAGGCCTGTCTCTGACAGAACTCCTGTATCCATGTAAAATAGAGCCTCTAACTCTGGTTGCCATCTTTTCCTTGGGTATGGCTTCCGTTTGTTTAGATTTTTTTTAATTCAAGTATAGTTGATTACAATGTTGTGTTAATTTCAGGTGTACAGCATAGCGATTCATTTATGTATATATGTATTCCTTTTCATATTCTTTTTCATTATAGGCCATTACAAAGTATCGAATGTATTTCCCTGTGCTATACAGTAGGACCTTGTTATTTATCTATTTTATATATAGTGCTTAGTATGTGCAAATTCTGCATTCTTGATACTCTGCAGAGTTTTTGGGTTGAGCCCTGATGGAATGTTCGAGAAGTTCTGTTTAAATTGATGGGGAGGGTTCCAGGACGGGAGTAATGAAGATTCCCCACCCCCTGAACTGGTGGAGTCATATGGCTTTATCCTTTTTCCTGCCTCCTGGTGGCTCTTCCCCATATCTGTCCACTGCCTGCTCCCCCCTCTTCCATCTTGGAATCCATCGGCCTAGGGAGGGGGTGTTTGCCTAGAAGGGTGGGCATCCTTCACCTCCAACTGCAAAGGTGAAAAACTGGATTCGATACTACCTTTGAGAGGCACTGCGATGTAGTTACAAGCCTGTCATGTAGAAGCAAGCTGCTTGGGTTCAAATCCCAGCTCTGTCACTTAACAGCGGCATGACCTGGGGCAAGCCCTTTAATTAATCTGTACCTCGGGTTCCTCCTGTGTAACTGAAAGATAGTAATTAAGGGGACTATATGACTTACGTTCTGAACCTGGATATTTTTGAGAGTGAAAGGGATGCTATTAATAATTAAATCAGGACAGCTGGCATATGCTGGGACTGTCTCAGGCAAATCTGAATGTATGGTTACCCTAGTACTTATGGTACCCATCTCATCAGGGCATGGGGCAGGGGTGAAATCTGCGGGAAAAGTGTCTGGTGCACGGGGAGGGCTCTGTGGGTATGTGCTATTATTTGTCCCAAAGACAGCACCTTTCCCACGTGTCCCACTTCTGTAAGTGACCCTACTATTCTCCCAGTCTTCCAGGTTAGAATCTCTGGAGCTGTTTTTGACTTCCTTGTCTTAATGGCCGATCTCTCCCATCTTTGATTCCCCGTGTCAAGTTGTGCTGTCATCATTGTGACTGCTAACATGCCTTAACTTGTGTCCATTTGTGACCTCAGTCACCTCTCCCCCAGCTTGCGATCCCTCTGCGCTGAGCTGGCCCCGGGGTGTGCCTTTAGGCAAGTCCCTTTCCCTTTCTGAGGCTCTTTCCTCATCTTTCATGCAGGCTTGAGATTGATGCCTGGCTTACACCAGGGACATCACTCCATTGACCGGCTCTAGCTGGGTGTCTGGACGCCGTAGGCACCTGCTACAGTTTTCCTGAACGCATGGTAAACGTCTCACTGTGCTTTACTGACTGTGGAGTGCTTTGTAAACACACGGTACTGTTGTCAATTCCAAGGCTCAATGGGGTCAATGATAATCTGCCCCCTCCCCAAATTTCACAATAAATTGGATCTCTGAGTAGGAAACAAAGTTGCCTTTGGAGGGTCAAACAAATGAACTTCACACTGTGACTAGGGCTGACCCAGGATTGTCTTTAAATTTGGAAAAAAAATAGTTGGGAACCCCAGGAAGCCCTATTCGGGAAACTGGAGGTAACGTCAGAGAAAAGGGTTGGGGGGTGAGTGTTATCATCTTGTCCCCTATTTGGAGTGGCCACGTAGACATAAGAGATTGCTGAGATTGGGCACTCAGATGGGAAATCCCGAGAGTCAGGAGTTGACCTCGGGGCCTGGGGAAGAGGGTACCCAGCCCATGGCCTCCAGCAGTGCAGCCCGTGGGCAGGTGGCCAGGCCACTGAGGATCACTTGGCTGACTTCCCTCTCGGATCAGCCCACCCGACAGGCTTCTGATATGAGTTGTCTTCCACTGAGGAACCCTACTGGGTGGTGGAGCCAGGATTTGACCCCAGGCCTGTCTGAGCTCTGCTTTCTTGCATTGAACCTCAGCCTCCTTGTTGGGCTTTCTGTCTGGCATCCTGCCAGGTGGTCTGGTCTCAAATGCAGGACCTCGATCCTGTGTGTCCTCATTTCTCCAGGAACCCCGAGCATCGGTGGGGACACAATATGGCGGAT